CCGCGGGGCCGGGGGAGCTGCTGCGGGAAGAGGTGGCCCCCCGCTGGGCTGGCGGCAGGGGGCTGGGAGGGAGCGGGTCCTTCCCCAGCTGCGGCGCAGTCTCACGCCGCCCCATCTGCCTGCTGCTGGCTGCTTTCCATTTGCCACCAGTCTTTAGCATATCGGTGGCCCTTTGTCACCTGCGATTTCCCCGCAGCCAGGGAGAGAGCAGATCCTGCTGCAAGGGCAGAGATTTGGCCAAGGGATCCTGGCGGGGATTGGGTGGGCTGAAGGAGAAGCGCAAAGAGGAGAGCTGTCTCTCTTTCCTGCTGCTCTTGCACGGCATTAGCCTTCCCAGGGGCCAGGGAGCAGGGGATGCGGGAAAGCCCAAGTTTTCTGGGAGCTTGTCAGCTCCCAGACAGCCAGAAACTGCCCTTGCTCTCACCGCTTGGTGCTCAGCCTGCCCGCTACGGCTGGGTCACGCGGCTCCGCACAGCTGTTTACTCCTGCCGAGGGACCCTTGAGGCCTCGGCCCAGGCCCTCCCCTCCCGGATGCTGGATCCCTTTGCCAGAGCTGCGTGCTGGCTCCCCGGCCCGCTCCCCCCTGCGGCTCAGCCCAGACATCCCGGGCGGGATGCACAACTGGAGCCTCTCTCTGCCCTGGAGACTGAAACTTAGGCTCTCCCATGGGGACATTCAGCGTTTCCAGCGCTGCCTGCCCTAAAACAAAGGTGAAGAAGCCAGGCTGCACCATGCTGGGGCTGCTCTTCATTGCATTTGAGGCAGGGCTGCAAACTCTCCCGCCCAAAGGCACAGGCGTCTCTTTCGAGGCAGAGGGGCTGCAGATGCCTGGGAAAGGCCCCAGCTGGACCCCGGGTGATGGCTCTTTCCTATTTATCCCCCACTTCCCAGCCAGGCTGCCTCCAAACTGAGCTCCGAACCAGACCGCATACTCGCAAACACTGCGTCTGAGGCTGCGTTGCTGGCAGGGCGCCAGCTCTCAGCTTTCGTAGCCAAATGATGGTGCAGCCTCCGGGCCAGCAGCATGCTTCCTGCCCCAGCTAGCACTGGGCACCGGCACCAGCAGCTTTCTGTCCCTGTCACAGTTCATACCTGTGCACAGGGATTTACATGCTGGGCTGGGTAGGGAGCGGGAGGCCAAGAGGCAAATCTGTCTGCAATGCACCCAATGTAAAGAGTGAAGGTATGGGCGTTGCTGGGAAAGAAGAAGGTACGTCCTTACAGATTTAGGTCTCAAAGGAGAGGAGGGGGCAGAGAAACCATGGGATTTCTCTGGGGCCTCATAAATGCAGAGATCACATAAAAGCCATTCTGTCAGCACCGGGTGCCCTTAAGGCGTCTCTCCTCTACCCCTGCACCGTACTTCCATGAACCTTCCAGGAATTTAATTCTCTGTTTCCTTTTTTCTGGTAAACATGTGCAACAAGGACAACTTCTAATTGCTTTTGTGTCTGGGTGGAGGGGGTAAAAAAAAGGCAACCGGAGGTGATTGAACAAAAGCCTGTGTTTCTATAAGCCTGCCTTCTTTGGAGATCAGCCTGGAGACAGATACATGACAGTAACGGCTAGTTGGTTGGCAGGGGCCGGGAGCTGGCTGGGCACTACCGGTCATAGTTTTGAGTCTGATCGATAGAAATCATTACGGACCTGGTCGGCTAATCAAGAGCTCTCTCAAAGTGCTGCTTGGACTCCTTGTGAGGGCTGCGAGGCAGGATGCCAAGGGGAACGGGTGAGTGGGGCACGATCCCTTGCAGGGATGGGGAGAGGGAAGGCAGCAAGGACCAGCTGCAGGAGCGCAGATGTAAAGACAGACAAACCAAGGGGAGATGCCAGGGGCAAGAGGTCTGACAGACCCCAGTCAAACTACTCGCACATGCGGGAGGTCCCATTCTGCAGCAAGGTCCAGGCTCGAGTATTGATGTTTTCCTGGTCTGTTTGTGTCCCTGTGGCAGGTTTAGAGCAATGGATAGCCTCCACACGGCCTTCAGACCTCTCCAGAAGCCTTTTGTGAAGAAGATCTCCAAGGGAGGCGCTAAGAAGAAGTGAGGTATTGCTACTGGAGGGGAACAGATTGGGGCCTGGATCCTGTGACCCTCTTCAGCTCTCCCTGGCTATGATAGTGTGGGAGAGAGGACGTTTGGGGCAGAGAAGCTTTAGCCCTGTGCACATTAAACCTAGGCAGACATCCCCAGCGTCCAGGGAGACAGGAGTGAGAGGGGGATGCCGAAAAGGTGGCAGTCACCAGCACCGCAGTGAAGCACTGGCGGCAGATGTGCGCAGGGTCTCTCCTGGCACTCTGAAAATCCCGGGAGGCTGTAACCAAACCCATAAGCAGCTGTGGGGTGGGAATGCAAGCATCGTAGTGCGGGAAAGATGGCCTGGGATGTCCAGGACCGGGGATGATTGGTACACCATGGGTAACGGCCAGTAGAGTGGGGCTACCGTTGCATACTTCTAGGAAAAGGTTGGTAAAGGATACACAGGAGATACTGCATGGCGAAGGGAGGAGAGGGGGCAGAGCCTCAGGACAAGCTCTTTGTCTCTGCGCAGACTGGGATAGGCAGCGCTATCCACGCCATGGGGCTCTGCAGCCAGCAATTCCCTGTCCTGATCCCACGTTCCTGCTTTTCAGCTGGAAGCAGAAGCCTGCAGGAGCACTGCTGAGGACAAGCCACGTGTCTAGGGAAGAAGCGGGGAGCCAGTTTTGCCGAGCAGCCAGAGAGAGGAGCGAGTAGGGTGACCCAAGGCCCATCTGACTCCACAGCACCTGTCTCCCTGGGGCCAGGCCCACAAGAGGAGGGTGAGGAGCTGGTGGGTGGATCCAAGGGCCCCTTTGTGGTATCACAGCTGTCCCCTGCCCGCGGCCTCAGCACAGACCATAGGTGGGCTCAGAGTGGGGGTGACCGGCCCTGCCGTGTCCAGAAGTGTAAGGGGATGTGAAGGCCTTGGGGGATGTGGGCATCGGAAACCTGGGGCATCGATGGCACTGGGTTCCCCAAGACAGCGAGGTGTCCTGCACTTCCGACCTGTATGCGCCTGCATTTTGCTCACTTGTCCAAAGATCATAAGGGACGTCCCTGCTTAGCCAGAACTGAAAGAAAAGCATTTTCCCAACATAGGTCTTAACCCTGTCCTTACCAGACCGCAGCGTTTTGTTCCCCTCCCTGCCATCACCGCGCAGAGGCCTGTTTGCTGCCATGTCTGCCTTGTCCAAGATGAGACCATGGCATGTGTAGGGTGTGTTTGGGGCTGGGGGACAGCACTGGGCTCCTCCCCTTCCCTCCCAGCACTGATCTTTAGATGGGGCATGATTAAGCCACCTTTACTGTAACCAAAATTGCCCTTCCCCACAGCCCAGTAAGACATGCGGATCATACTCAGAGATCACGCGCAGACGCCAGATGTCTCTGGGCGTGCTGTGTCCCGAGGGAAACAATCCCCTCCACCCTAGTGCAACTGGTGGCACATGGCATGTTACGGGCACAGGGACTGGGGCTCTGAGCGCTGCAGCCCACCTGCTGTCTTGCTGGCTCCCTCCGCACTAGCCCTCCGCTCTCCTCCTTCGTGGGGCGCTCAACTGCTCTGCCAGGCTGGGCTGTAAGTTTTTAACGGAGGCACTGGAGGGCTGTAGGGTGCTCTGGTCTGATCCTCCCCCCCCAGAGCCAACGCCCCCCACATGATGGGATGAGATGAGTACTGGCCGTGCCAGAGCCTTTCACTCCAGGAAAGCAGTTGGCTGAGAGCAGGAAGGGTAACACAGAGACCCCTCGTTCCCCTAATCCAAACCACCAGCCAGGAGCTACTGGCACGACTCTAGATTCGGGTAGGCCACCCTGGCCTTGGGGCAGGACTGAGGCGCTCCCATGCCACGCACGAGGGGAGTCACGAGCACTCAGTGGCACAGGCACAGAGCACACCCTGGGACATGTGCCGTACAGGCAATAACCAAGGGGTCTCCCCCCTTCCTGTCTTGCAGCTGGTGTCCCCACAGGAGGCTTTACCGTGATATCAAGAGAGCACGCAGGCACAGAAATGGGTCTGCTGCAACAGAGGTGCACTGGGCACCTGCTCTGCGCAGTGACCCTCCTGGAGGCTGCAGGGGCCTTGGCCTTAATGCTTTACGCTCTGCTGTGGGAAGCCGGGAACCTGGTCAACCTCCCCAACAAGCGCGTTGGCTTTTACAACTTCTGCCTGTGGAACGAGACAGCCAGGGAGCTGCAGTGCCTGGAGTACAGGCATCTGCAGGTGATGGGCATCAGCCTACCGGTAATAGTAATAGCCAGGGTTTGCGTGTACTCTTGCCTGGTCTTCAGCCTCTTCTACCCCCTTTTTGTTGCACACGTGAAATGCACGGAGGAGACAGAAGGCTGGAAAATAATTCTCATCATACTCGTCATCAAGATGATGATCCTGTCTGGAGGCCTGGGTATGTTTCTCTTCCAGACCTCACATTGGATTCATCCCTTTGAATTCACTGGGGGCTTCATGGCACTGACTGGGACTCAGGCTCTGCAACTGCTCCAGATTTTCACTGCCACTATGTACCTCCGCTGGGCCACGCACAGGTATCCATGCCAAAGCCCTTTCCCTGAGGAGGCCACGTCCATTGAGATTTGAAGGTGGAGAAGATGCAAGAGCTATGGATTGCCTGATTTAGAATAATAATCACACTACAGCTTTTGTTAACTGGCAGGAATTAGATCCTTAGTCCAGGTGCTCATGCCCAGCCATGCTCCGACACACAGCTGTGATTGCCAGCCAGGCAGCTGGCAGCACTCCTGCAGCGAGCAGGTAGCAGGCACCGACACCCACAGCGCAGTGTGGGAGCTTCCTGGGAATGGCAGCACATAAAACACACTGCAGCCTGGGGCACTGCACCAGAGCAGCAGCATTTCTGGCCCTGACCCTGAAGACAGTAAAGGGGACAGATCAGACTCGGCACAAGGCAGATAACATGCATCTGGCCACATCTAGCCTGAGCGTAGATAGCCAGAGAAGCAAAACAGGCTTGCTTTCTTGGAGTTGCCCAAAGAGACTTGGCTGTTTCGCCACCTCCTGGATAGCCAGGGGCATCTTAGAAGCAAACAGGAGTGAAGAGCTTTGTCTTCACATTGCCATCGCAGTAGTGCAAGCCCCAGGTGTGCCCTGGAAACATTTCCTTCAGCAGGAGCACCTGCACTTCATCTGCTGGAATAATACGGACTTACAGGGTGGCTGCTGTAGCTCATTTGGGTGAAGTGGCCCATGTCCAATCCCAGCAGCAGCAGGGCACCTGGAAGGGCAGTTTAATGATTTGCTGAACACAGCCATAATGAGGAAGGCTTCCATGAGGAAGCAGAGGATTTTGGTGCAGATCCCCCGGCTCTCATTGACACTATGCGACTGAGCCCAGCACTCTAGCATCCTCAGAGGCTCCAGCAGAGACCAGTCCTGGGTGAAAGCAGCTGGCCACCGAGCTGCTTGTAACCTCGCAGGAGGCAGCGCTGGCTTTCCACCCTGTCCCCTCTGGGTGCACAAGGGCCCGTCTTCTCAACTCTCCTTCTGCAGGGTCTTGGTGGGACATGGCTGGTGACACTGGTTTGATTGATTCCTCATTTCAATAAAGACTCTCGCACCCTGCCTTGGCCTCACGTGTTCTGTTCACTATCCCCTTCCAAGCTGTACTCACCTGGAGCCCCTGACCCCCTCCAGGCTCCCTGTACATCCTGCAGCGGGAGCAGCCCCCTCAGGACGGTCCTTGTCCCCCACAAGCCTGCTCCCACCCACACGTCTCTTGTAGCAGCACTGGGAAGGGTGAGGGGTGCCCCAAGGTGACAGCCCCAGGGCCCCAGCATTTAGGCTGAACCCCAACCATCCAGCTCTGTAGGCCAAGGCCAGCGAGTGCCCGTTCCCTCCCCACCTGTCCCAACATCCATACAGCAAAAGGACACTCACAGGTGAAGCCTCTTTAATCCTCTTTAATCCAGCTGTGCTCTGAGGTGTCGGACACAAACAAGCGAGCGCACCCTTTCCTGGGGAAAAACCCTGCTGCTGCCAGCACACGCTACGAGGAAAGAGCCCCTCGCTTCCCCACAGGCTTTCTCCCAGCCCTGCCGTGAGAGGCC